CACGGTCTGTGAAACCCTGAACAACAGTACGGAGGGCAATAGAAAACAAAAGAATGGAGTGTGTTTGTTGCATGACAATGCATGTCCCTACACAGCCAACACCACAAGGCAACTTTTGGATTTATTCAGTTGAAACATCATCAACCACCCCGCTCACAGCCCTGAACCGGCACCTTCTGATTTTCATCTTTTCTCTTCTCTGAAGGTGTTTATGGGTGGAAAACGGTTTGCTACTGATGATGAGGCCTACAGTGCTGTGAAACAACAGAAAGCTAATCCCTCGGCTCACAACTGCATTGAGGTTGAAGGCGACTATGTCGAAAAATAGTGTTTGATGTACTTTCCTGAATATATGAATTTTTCATAAATATGCTGTTTCCATTTTTAAAAAATTGAGTATCGCGCCAATTTGGAGATTTGGGGGTTTCTCATATATGATGAAAATTGAAAAACACTTTATATCTCTTAAAGGAATTGAGACATCTCAAAAATCAAGTCCAAGACATTTGAACTACTTTTTGTATCAGATTTAGTTCACAAGAGGACAAATGGACCAAAAAGTGAAAAATATGAAAAAAAGGCAGGAAAATACGAATCATCATGACGAACTTCAATTTTATCGTACAGGGTGGGTAAAAAATACAAAAAACAAATTGTTTATGCTACGCCAATACCAAATAATATTGAAATGATAACAGGCAGAATTACCCAGGCTATCCCTTCAATATCCTAGGAAGATCAGAAAATCCTTCAGATATCTATGCAAGCAATGAAAAAAATGTGTTCAATATGGGGGTGGTGTTTTTGAAATTTTATATCTTTATCATATTGCTTTGTTTACCTTTTTTAGTTTAATTGTAATTATGTTCATATTTGAAAATTACACTTGAATAAGACGTATTTTAGTTTTGTAGTACTTTGTTCCCTGCATAAAAAATTAAATTTTTGACAACGGTACTCTTATTCACTTTTCAAGCAAAAACGTTTATCAAGAATGCCTTTTTTCGTATCTTGCAAAATAAGGCATTACACAGCCAACGCCAAAATTCATTCGGTTCATCCCGCTCACAGGCCTGACCTGGCACCTTCTGATTTTCATCTTTTCTCTGAGGGTGTTTATGGGTGGAAAAAGTTTTACTACCGACGATGAGGCCCACAGTGGCGTGAAACAATGATTTTGAGAGGTGGCAGGAGATTTTTTTGACGAAGTATCAGAAAGCTAATCCCTCGGCTCACAAGTGCATTGAGGTTGAAGGCGACTACGTCCAAAAATAGTGTTTGATGTTTCTGAATATGGATATTTTCAGTTTCGATTTTTAAAAAATTGAGTACTCTTTGTGGATATGCCTCGTATTAAAATGAAAATTTATGTTCTTCTACGTGAAGTTGCTTTAAATTCTGCAATCGCACCAAATTTCTTTTTAACTGTTGTTAAAATCAAAATACCGGGATTTTTTGAACAAAAATTGAGAAAGTAAATGAAGAAAAATTCTAATTTAAAGCTTCTTGCTTTTCAAATTGAGAACCGTCAGTTTTTTCTTAAAAGTACAACAGGGTTGGAAATATTAAAAAAAAATTGAAATAAATAACTACAGACCGATTTTACCAAATAACCAGCATCGCAATTTCATTCCCGAACGACACAGACGTTTACCTTCATGCACACAAACTGAAACGATCGACAAACACAGCTACGCACCTTAAGGGAAAATAAAAAGCGGAAAATAAATAAATCCCATTTATTTTAATTTCAAAATAAAATAAACATATGTACAAATATATCAATAAACAAATCAACTAATTTGCTACCTATAATAACTTATATATTATTTACAATAAATAGTGTACTGATTTCACGTCCTGATACAACATAACTAATTTGATTCTACGAATTAGTGCTGTCACGATAATTTTAAAAAAGAACTAGTCGTCACCTATCTTTGAAAAGTCTTACCAAAGCAAGGCACTGAATACAGGCGAAAAACATCAATATGCTTTAAGTATTTATAAATATTAACAACGTTATTTACAAGGTCCATTATTTCTACAATTTCCTTCTCGAAAAACGTCTACGAATAAAATTAGTTACTTAGCACCTTTCTTTTTTTTTTCGATCATTTTATACAATTTTATACAGTTTTTTATAAACATTTTTGGAAACATTCCGCCGTGTTTGCACTCGTACAACACCACGGCGTATGTTACATCATAAAATCAATATACAGAAATTATAGGGAACATTCAAATAAAAATAAACTAAGCCGTAAAATAAAAAAAAAATGATCGATATAACATAATAAAATTGTTTCAGTCCGGGATGCACTACGACATTTACATACTGAGCTGTTAGCAAGGTTAAAATCACTCTAACAGTTACGTCCTTGTGTGTCACTTAAATACCGCAGGCAAATATCTATAAAACCGACTTTCTCTCTCTATCTCTCGTCACGTCGTATCACTAAAAGTCACCAGTCGCGGCAATGAACAATCGTAATTTATTTAAAGTACTAACAACTCAGGGTTGCAACACAGCACCATCAAATCACTCACCCTCCGCCATCCATTGAGTCGTCCGGTTTTCCCGACGGCTTGTCCCGTCCTAGAACGGACGGCTTGCCCGGCGGGAGGTTCTGCATCGCCTCGGCGTGCTCCCTGATCTGCCGCTTCCGTTTCTTGCTCCACAGCTCGTGGCAGTCCTGCCACGTCGGCAGCTCGGGGGCCGATATTCTGCAAATTAAAGTAAAAATGTTATTTATGTCACGACTAAGATGTGTAGATTTCTTGAAATAAAATTTTTCCACATAATTTACAGATTTTATAAAAAAAACCTATTTATCAAAGAAATAAAAAATAAAATTAGTCATAACTAAGTTAATTTTTTAAGAGATTATATTAATCAAGCAAATATGTGAGTTATATACAGGGTTTTCAAAAAGATTGGAATCCCCCTCTATCTCAGAAAATACTGCTCAAATAAGAAAATTATTACAAAAGTTGCAGGGTTTTGAGTGAGCAATCCAACAGTGACCTTGACCTTGACCTTGAAGGACATTTAGAGGTCAAGTTCGAAATTTTAAATGGAACTGTATACTTCTGGCCACGGAAATGGTAAGAGCAGAAAATTTTATGTTCGAATGTGACCTTGATCATGACCTTCAAGGTCATTTAGAGGTCTACCTGAAAATTTTAAATGGAACCGTATATTTTTGACCCAGGAAATGGAAAAAGTGTAAATTTTTACATTCGGATATGGCTTTGACCAAACCCTTCAAGGTCATTTAGAGGTTAAGTTGAAAATTTTAAATGGAACCTTATATTTTTGACCTAGGAAATGGAAAAATTGTAATTTTTATGCTCGGATATGGCCTTGACCATGACCTTCAAGGTCATTTAGAGGTTAAGTTGAAAATTTTAAATGGAACCGTATACTTTTGATCCCGGAAATGAAAAGAGCGAAAAATTTTACATTCGGATTGATTATTTGACCATGACCTTGAGGTCTCAAGGTCATGGTAGTTTCAAGGTGACAGTATTTCCAACAGCCTGTCTCCGAGGGTAAAACGTACTCGGGGTTTTCGGGGTCACCCTTTTGACTATTGGAGGCAAATGTAAGAGTTCCCGTTTTAAAAACCATTCCGACTTTAAAATTTTGTTGGAAGTAATCGCCATTTTTACTTTTGGAATAAGGACGAGGTCATAACAATATCACCATCCGATAGCTAAGAAAATTTTTTCCGTTAAATTTTTTCATAAGAGCATTATTAAACTTAAGTTCTTTGCTTACATTTGACGTTACAGTTACCTTTAGGTCATGGTCAAAGACATGGTATAGGTCATTTTTGAATTTTACGCTCACTCAATTTCCACAATCAAGAATATCGGGTCATTTATTAAAAATCGTCCTGACCTGTAAACGACCTTCAAGGTCATGGTCCAAGATATACGGTTCCATTTAAAATTTTCAGGTTGACCTCTAAATGACCTTGAAGGTCATGGTCAAGGTCACATTCAAACACAAAATTTTCCGCTCTTACCATTTCCGGGGTCAAAAGTATACGGTTCCATTTAAAATTTTCAATTTGGCCTTGTCCATGACCTTCAAGGTCATGGTCAAGGTCACCGTTTGTTTTCTCACTCAAAATCCTGCAACTTTTGTCCTAATCATTTTTTTGTTTGAGCAGTATTTTCTGAGATAGAGGGGGGTTCCAAACTTTTTGGAAACCCTGTATATTCCGCTGATAATTGTGTGTTTATGAGGCCCGGGCGTGTTCAAATTCAAATTTTACTCTCCCGGGATATCCCCATTGCAACAAAATAAATAAATAAATAACACTTACAGCTCCGGATTAATATTTTTCAGCCAAGGAGACTTTAAGGCGTCCTCAGCTGTAATTCTCTTGTCCGGATCCAGTTCCAACATTTTATCTAGTAAATCTAATGCTGAAGCAGGCATGAAAACGAAATCTTCTCGCAAACGTCTCCTGTGAAGTTTGTTCGGTTTGAGGGTGTGGAACAGGGGGAGTTTGATTACCGACGGCCATACCGCCGGCGTAGGCGTACCGCACACCCTCGATATCCTCTCCAACTGCATGAGTTCCGCGTTAGCCTGGGAAAGTGAAATAAAATGTAGGCGCCTTTTACATCTATTAATGTTTAGTATTCGTTTAATTTTTTATTTGATAGTTGAATAAACATAATAAATAATTTTAATTTGGAAAATGAAAATTTAATCTGCAACACCCATTGGCTATTTCACCAACCAGTTGAATGTTGAATTTGCACCGAAAGCGAGGAACAGAAAAGTAGTGTGCACACTCCTTTTTCTCTGATTTTGAAACGAAGATTCGCAGCCGCTTCACCCGCTGCACACAAACATTTGGTAAGCGCATTTTTAACTTCAATATTAGTACGCTTTCCAATTATCACACACATTATTCATAATATAGTTAGACAATTAATCAAACTTAGGATTGGAAATATTAGATGGCGACTCTTCCATAAAATCTGTCCTAGTTTTTAAATTCATCAACGGAGAATGTGCAACTATCAAAATTTCATTAAAACATTCTAAAAATTAATTATGTATCATTATGCGAATTCTAACAACTATTTTCATAAATGCTTATTACCATTCAATTGCTTTTCAAATTAAAAATTAAATTAAATCGGTTGAGGTCTATTGTTGTCAACTGTTTGTCAACATTATGAAAATATTAAAAATTGACGGTAGAGAGTTGGACTAGGCGGTATCTGTTTTGGTTTGGGTGAATCGTATATCCACGGAGATTTTTGGCTTTTTGGCTTTCAAATATCACTAGAAATGAAAATTTTTCTATGCGCATAAAAAAAACGTAAGCTTAACTTTTGAAAAATGTCATATTTTTCTTCCTATTTAATTATGTAGCTTTTCAAGAGTTGATTTTAGGCGAAAATGAAAGAGGAAAAAAATGTTTGTGATTAAATTTTTTACAAAATATGACCAGTTACAAATCGAATTAATCATGATTATTGCAAAAATTGAAAAAATTGCCAAAAATGGGGATAAAAAATATTACTTTTTAGGCGCATAGAAAAATTTTCATTTCTAGTGATATTTGAAAGCGAAAAAGCCAAAAATCTCCGTGGATATACGATTCACCCAAATATGGACTTTTTGTAACAGATACCGTCTGGACTGTCTCTCTAGTATTTTCATTTCTAAGTTGCGAGTTATATTAAAAAAAAATATATTTTATCTTTCACATTTTTTTACTTTAATTTAATTTAAAGTTAATTCAAACAAATTTAATCAGAAATATTGAAAGCAAATTTAACCCTTTCACTGCTCCAGATGTATATATTCGCTAAAAATTTATAGGGCTCAAACTGCTCCAGACGGATTAATTCGCATGAATAGTTAAATTGGATCAGTCTGCTCAAACCGTATTTATTCGCAACCATGCGCATTAGTGACTCGGTTATTGCAATTGGTAAGGCTAATTTTTGCGGGCGAGCTTATACCGATTGTGACAAATATTTTTATAGAGAGGTACTGGTAATAATACCAAGATTGTTCATGTTTCTTTCAGTTTCTATTTAGTACATATACTGTAGTGATGTGAGTGAAAATATATAACAAATTGATATATATATCAGTTTTTGATACATATCAGCTATTATATTTATGTTAATAGCTGATATATATCAATTTTCCCGCCATTTCATCAACACAGACAAATTTCAAACTTAACCTTACATTTTAAAATGGACTATAGCTCTTGGGTACCTGGCATATCTCCGTCAAAAATGAATATAAAAATCTGAAATTTTAGGGGTGTACTATAGATGGGAAGAACTAAGAGCGCATGTAATTTCAAGTCGCCCCTTCCACCCTAGGGGGTGCGGAGGGGGTGAGGGGTGTTTTTTTTTTAAATGTACCCTATTTATTTTGCGAGTTTCGGATTCTTCGCGTAAATCTACTCCCGAAAGAGAGTTCTTGCCGAATTCGTACAAAAACCAAAATCCACCCTCGTATGAACTACGTCGTTTTTTCGATGACCATCGTTCTTGGGCACCTGGGCATATCTCCGTCAAAAATAAATATGGAAATCTGAAATTTTGGGGGTGTACTATAAGTGGGGAGACCTAAGAGCGAACGTAATTTCAACTCACCCCTTCCACCCTAGTAGGTGCAGAGGGGGTGAGTGGTGGTCTTTTAGACGTACCCACAAAAATGCGTTTCATGGGGGTAGTTTTATGCGTAGAATCCAAAAATTGCAAAATAAATAGGGTACATCTAAAAAATACACCCTTCACCCCCTCCGCACCCCTAGGGTGGAAGGGGTGAGTTGAAATTACGTGCACTCTTAGGTCTCCCCATCTATAGTACACCCCTAAAATTTCAGATTTTTAAGTACTACTTTAAAGCAGTTTCTTTATTATCATGTTTTTGATAATTTTGATTTAAATTTTTATATTTTTAATTTTTTTTAATATTGTGATATACAAAGACTAAATTTTCTTGTTCTAGAAATTTTCCATTTTTTATTTGTAGGTTGATAAAACTAAATTGCTAATATACAGCGTACTTGCTTATAAACAGTCATTGTATTATATTAAGTACACAACAAAAATTAGAAGTCATAATCATCATAATTATAATGAATTTATTAATTAAAACAACAACCCATTTCAAATAGATTATTACTTTTACTATAAGGTGTCTTAATGTAAATATGATAAAAAAA